CTGTTGTCGTGGTTCGTATTTGCATTTTCTGTATGCGCGGTACTGTTCGTTTTGGCTGTGTGCTTTTTTCGTGGCATTGCGTATGTTTTTTTTTTTTGTGTGCTGCTTTCTCATCGGATGGTGGTTGGTGAGATGCTGATGTAGCAAGACGTGCTTCTTTGCCTTTGTGTGACACTATGGGTTTCGGCTAGGATGAAACTTCTGTTGTGTGTCATCCAGAAAACGAGCTGTTGCGGTTTTGCTCAGTGGCGGCGATTGTGTAGACGGGCAGGTGATGTTCTGTGCGTGCGCTTAGGTGTCGTCCAACGGGATGGGGTTGAGTCGGAAGGGGCCCAAGGATAGCAGCCAGGTGAGCATGGGGTCTTGCTTGTCTTCGATGTAGTGGTAGAAATAGACTGGCATGTGGTGCAAGACGTTGTTCACTACTCGGAGGACTTTGTTTTTGCCGTCTTCGCTGTCCTGTACTTTGAGAAGGCGGACGTAGATTCGCTTTTCGGTTGGATCCACCGTTTTGTGGTATCCGTACGGGATCTGCTGCGCATCGAACTGTTCCCGAAACACGTAGAGCCCGCCCAGAAACATGAGGTTGTAGTGATCGTCTTCGGCGGTTTCGAGTTGGCAGACGATGTGTCTTCGTCCTCTGGGAGGCAAGACTTTGAAAATGTTCGGCATCCATTCTGGTTCCGTGCGTAGTAGTTGCCACGGCTGTGGCAGGTCTTCTTGTGCGGGGTTCCACTGCACACAGTTGGATTGTACTTGCAGCACCGGTATGTCCAAAATTTGCGCTTGATCCATTTTGTGCTTCAGGATGCGATGGATAAGATCCAAGATCGGGTTGAGGTCGTCGTTTCCCAAGTAGAGCACGGCTCGCCATGGCGTGAACTGCATGCCGTCTGGATCGTTGTCTTCTCCTTGTTGGCTAGGGGCACCATTCAGGATTCGGATCTTGAGGTGCTGTTCCATGCTCTTTAGGTCCGTAACGTTGGAGTCTGGATAGTTTCGGAGTGTGTCATTCACGGTTCCGAGAATTTTGTAGCTAAAGTTATTGTAGCCGGCGTGATCCACCTGTACCTGCCACAGCTTGGTTGTTGTTGGCGTGTCGTTGAAGTAGTAGGCCGCGCTGCCCCAATAGGTGACGGTGGCTATGAGGTAGCGCCCGGCCGTTGGGTCGGCGTTGTTGTTGTTTCGTTTCGCGATTGGCTCTTGGAGCGCGACTTCGTGGGCCTGGAAGCGTCGTTTTGGCATGGCGGCGGCGAGGAGTGGGTATGTTGCTCGGTTGAGACCTTCCGGAAATTGCTGTGCGGGTTTGGGTAGGCACGTTTTTTTTTGTCTTTCTTTTTTTTTGCTCTGATGACTTTGGACGCGTGTCGGTGTGAGTTGGAAGCTCGTTCGCTCTTTGTTTTTTTTGTGCTTTATACCTTGTTGACTTCATTGTTGCTTTTTTCGTGTATCCTTTCTTTTTTTTTGCCTTTATATTTTTTGATCTGACATCTTCTTTGTCGGTGTGTGTCTTTCTCTCTCTCTCTCTTTCTCTCCGACGTCTATTTGTTTGTTACACTGGTTTTTATCGTTTTCCTTATTGTTTATCTCTTTGCCTTTGTCACATGATGGCTTACTTGTCTGCGTCAGTTTTGGTGGTCGCGCTCGAGCTTTGTGCATGCTGTACAAGAGTTGCTTCAAGTGGGTTTCTTCGAGTATGGTGTGTATGTTGGAATGTGGTGCTGCAGTTTCGTGTTTTGGATTCGGCACTTTCTAGTTTCTGTGGTTTTGGTCGCTATGGCTGTCTGCTGTGATTGTGGTAATGCGTGCGACGGTCTTTTTTTTTTTTTCTTTGTGTTACTTTCTGCACCGGTCGGTGGTTGGCGAGGGTATTGCCTCGTGAAGTGCCTTTTTGTTTTTTGTGTCACATGTGGGTTTCAGCCAGGATGACACTTTTCTGGCGGGTCATCCAGAAAACAAACTCGTCGGAGTCTTGCTCTGTGGCGTCGATGAAATAGATGGGCAGGTTGCACAGGGCATTGACGAGAAGGCTTTGTATTCTTTCCTTTGCACTGGTGTCGAAGTTGTCGAAGTGCATTTGCCTGACGTATGTGGCTTTCTTTTCGTTTCCTGATGCTGGAACTTCTCCGGCCGGGATGTTCTCGTTGTTCAGCATTCGCCTGTACGGGTAAAGGTTGCCGAAGATGGTGAGGATGTATGCCCCGGCTCGGTTTGTAGCGCGGTTGAGTTGGCAGAGTGTATGTTGTCTCGTGGTTGGTGGGACTGCACGGAAACAGGCGATGTCGCTCATGTTTGGGTGGCAGCGGAGCGTCCATGGCGTTGGCGGCTTTGCTACCCAGGTCCATTCCTGGATGCGGATGGCCAAGGGGGGCGCGTGCCTCCAATGGCCGCACGTGCAATGGTGTTTCACCAGGTACTGCAGCAGCTCCAGGATGGGCATGGGAGATTCGCCGGCTGCGTAGATTACTGGTTGCCACGGGGTGAATTCCATGCCGTCCGGGTCGGGGTCGCCACTTGATGGAGGTCCACCGGAGAGGAGCTTGACGTGATGGTTCCGCTGCAATTGCTCGAGGGTCTGCATGCTGGCATCTGGATGCACGCGTAGGGCTGCTCTTGCGGCGTCAAGCATCATGTAGCCGAGCGAGCGCCGGCCTCTGTGGAAGATCCGGGCTTGCCACAGGGTGTTTTCGGGCTTTCGCCAGTCGGCCCGTTCCGCGAGATCCGGAAAAACGAAGGCTGCATTTCCCCAGGATCTGATGCTGACGAGGACTTCGTTGTTCTCTGGGTCGTCGTCATGATCGGAGAAGTTCTTGCTGATTTCGACGTTCGGGGCGGTGAGGCGCCGTGTCATGATCGAAGTGGTTGCGTTGGTGTGCTGTGATGTTGCACTTTTTTTTCTTTATATTTANNTTTTATATATTTATAGCTTGTTTGGCGAGTTCGAGAGTGTGTTAGGCTTTTGTGTGAGAGTTTTGGATTCTGTCGATGCCTGTGATGGTTTGTGTTTGGCTTTGTGCCGAATTCTTGAGACAGTCTGTTTTTTGGTTGCTGGCCGAGCTCTAGACGTTGCTGCGTGTTGCTTGGTTGTGTGAGTCGTTAGCTGCGCGGATTTATTGTTTTGGCATGTGCGAGGTTTTGCTTGTTCCCGGGGGGGGGGGGGGGGGTGGAACTCTTGTTTTGCGGGCTTGCTGATGCGACGTGGCTGCATGCACGCGGTGCTTGATTTTTGGGTGTTTTCGGCATGGGTTGGTTGCACTTTGCGGCCGTGTTTTGTGCGTTGTGAGACTTCCGCGGCTGCTGGCTTTGGTTCTGATTGTTGGGGCGGCATGGGAGTTGTTGGGGTGAGCTTTGCTAGAGGTGGCATCGGTGTCGCGGATTAATATGTACGAATGCCTGCAGCCACGTTGTGAGCGGAGCATCTTCAAGTCGAGGCTCGTCTGTTTCTGGATTCAGAATCTGAATGTGGTTTGCAAGCGGCATTGAGTAGAAGGGCGATTGCTCGGATGGAAGGCGATGGGTCCATGTGTACCGGATGACGGTAGGGTTCCACGGTTCGAAGTCGGAGCCTGTGCTATGCGTGGTCTCTAACATCTTCGTGGGACGTCTAGACATGTGTCGGGGGAGGTTTGTTTGTGTTACTGCCGCGTGCATGGCTCGGTTGGTTTGGCTCAGACTGGCGAAGTTCCGTAGACAGCTCGCGAAGTGAAGGAAGATGCCGCGGACCTTTTGCGATTCGGTTGCATGGTCTGTGTTCTGACGGGGGGTGCTGGATGGATCTTCCCAGGCTGCTATGAAGTGGCGTTCTTGTAAGTAATGACCGATGGCGGCTGTGAGACTTTCTGCGTCTTGGTGGTTGGCTTCGTCTTCGAGTATCGCTTGGAAGAAATGTGCGCACGTGGACTTGTTTCTGCTGCTTTTGTAGGGGTGGCTGGTGTCCACTGATCGGGTGCTGCTCCATGAGGAGGTTTGTTGTGGTTTGGGTAGCTTTATCCAGACACACCATTCCAGGGCACTGAACTCTAGAATGATTCCGAGGATGTCTGAATCGTGGAGGGTTTGTGATGTCTGCATGGCATGGATTTTTTGGAGTGTATCTTCCCTGGCGGCTAGGGGGGCTTTGCATTTGTTTCCTGCATCCGTGGTTTGTTGCTCCATGCTTGATCTTTGTCGCAGGAATCGGATGGTGTGCGGGGAAGGGTGTTAGTCTTTTCTGGCATTGTTGAGCGGAGGAACTGTTGATGCCGGTTTGTGTGTTTTGTGTGCGTGTGTGCGCGTCTCTGTGGATGTGTGTGTGTATG